GTTTTGGATCAGGCGATTTTTGATACCGGTGAGTACAATTTTGACAGACATAATAATAATATTAGCATTAGTACCTATCCCGTGCGTTTGTACATCCATTACATAACATGTAGGTACCTACTCATGGCAGCGCTTATCGTTAACGGCCGCTTCTGTACACACTTCAAACATTGTACATAACATTGTGACCACTGACCATGGCGCGTTACAATATGTTTCTTTTTCCCCATAAACAGCGTATACAAATTGAATATAACGTTTTTTATATCCACATTCGTAATCGGACTCAGTCACGTCAGCCCTTCCACTGAGGCCGTCCGTATCTTAAGTATTTGCGTTAACATTGCGTATATATTCATTCAATTTTGTTTTGTGGCTTTAACATTCTTCGAGCTCAGTATGTCGTTTTTCGTATTTTTCCATTTTTCATGTATAATGTACTTATGTACAAAAGGTATGTACAAAGTACAAACCTTAGAACAATGTACAAACTATATCAATTCTAAAAATAACGCAAGTTGCTTAATCATTACTGATAACATAACGATACGATCATCATTTCAAAATGCTTTCAATACTTTCGTTATAATAATTTTGTATATTGTTGTGTTCGTTATATAACTATTATGCGTTCCAGGCTATTCACAATGGTGAAACGATGTGTGATCTGTGGAAACGTGGATGGTGACAATAACGTTTCGGTGCACAGGTATTTACAATTTCACATAACAATAATGTGACATGTTATAAATCACATCCATCCTTAGATTTCCAACTGACGAACGTCGTCTTCAGTGGGTGGAATTCGTGGTGAACCAAGGTTTTCCTGTAAACCTAACCTCTACGTTGTGTTCGAGGCATTTTGTTCCTGGCCTTGACTACAGACAGGAGCATACGCGACGCCGTTCTCTGTTCCATCTTTGGTGAGTATCTACATATCAGACATACATCTCCAAGCATCACAACTCATTCATTTCAAACACAACCATAACACTGTATTACAATACATATTGCTTACCTACCTGGCAGTACAGCAAAACATACACTTTTTGATGGATAAACAATAACAAAAGGGTCTGCGCTAGAGCACGATGATATATTGAATATGTTAATTTTATCCTACAGTTGTTGAATTATGCAATATCCACCTATTGCATTACAAATGTTTTATTACTCTATATAGCTCATTAACTTCACTAACACTTTTATATCCTTATAGTTTAGGAATAAAAAATGTACATACCTACCACCAAAATATTTACTTTTGTTAACAACATTTTACATTCAAATACAATTACATTATTATAGGTACATTTCACTTTCACATATCTTGATTGCCTTTGAAAATTTAGTGTATTCTATATTAAGTTAAGTTTAACAATATTGTACCTATTAATGTCATCAGATGACTTTTCACTTACAAATTCCATGTGATCTATATCTATAGTTACTATAACCATACTTAACTATACTTAACTATTACAATAGTCAATTAACTTTGCCCATCATTTATAATAACACACATATAACAAAATACATTACATATTATTTAATTATTATAGGTACTTTTCACATACAACACATATATCTTCATTGTCTTTGACGATTCAATTTATTCTACATTAAGTTAAGTTCAACAATACTGTATTAATGTTATTCAGTTAACTTTTTTCACTTAAAAATTCCATGTGATCTTTTTTCACTTAAAAATTCCATGTGACATTATAAACTGTAATTACTATAACCATAGTTAACTACTCCAATAGTGAATAAACTGTGCTCATAATTTATAATTTGTTTGCTTATTTAACTTAACTTACAATTCATTTTTTTAAATATATATTACATTAAATTAAACTCAACGATACTATATACGAATGATGACACGATGTTATATGACACAAAAATTATTTGTCACCACAAACCTTATGTAATTTAACAAATTTCTTTTTTTTTTGTTACACCTCAACCTTAATATTTATAAACTGCAATTCCATTTTCTTACATAGAAAATCAATTAATAAATTGGGGCATGTATGGTTTGGTACATTCTACAAACTACAACATTTTTTGATTACATTGCATTACACTTTTAATTGACATCAAAGTTAATGACTTAATAACTATACTATATTGTGCATTGGAAACAAATAGAAAATAAAATATTATTACCATGTTATTGTTTCACAATAAATACACTATTGTATATTTGGTTCAGTCTAGAATGAACCGTTCTTATAAATCATTTAAATTAACCGTCTATGATTCTATAGGTAGTCGGACCATACAGAGAACGAGAAGATCATGTGGAAAACGTCGATGCCGGTGTACAAGTTCCGAGGGATGAACTTTTGTTGGAAGACAACATTGAGGTAGTTGAAGTCATGATGGACAATGACAACGTTGAGGTAGTTGAAGTCATGATGGACAATGACAACGTTGAGGCAGACGAAGTCGCGGTGGACGACGACAACGTTGAAATAGTTATCGTGAACGGAGACGAACAAGTATCAGACGATGATAACTTTGTTGGTGTTTTCGACCTTTCACCACTGTACGACATTCAAGAGGTCAGTATATATTTTGTATAAATTATATTATTCATTTTATGTTCATAAAGGAAAAAAATAATATACAACCGTGTCTTTTAAATTTCAGGTTGAACAAATCGCCCCGGTTGTCGCTAGACTGCTGCTAGACCGTCCGGCTGGCGTTCAGCACCCACTACCGGAACCACACTACATAGGCGTGTTGAATTACGTATGCCGGTATTGTAGGGCCCGCCACTTTAAGTGCGAGGAAACAAGCCCGAATAATTGTTCTACATGCTGCAACAACGGTCTGATGGCCGTTTCAGGACCGTGTGTGTTGACACCTGCACCGTATTTACTACAGAGGTTGTTGGTTGAAGATTCGGTAGAAGGTAGACACTATCGAAATAACATCCGCCGGTACAACAACACTTTGGCTTTTGCTGCATTCTCCACCGCCTTCAACACACGGCGCTTGCCAGGTCGGGGACCCAATGTGTTTACTGTTCATGGGCAGGGATATTGGACGATAAGTAATGACTTGATCGGGAACGAACCTATCCAACGCAGATTCTGCCAGCTGTATTTCGTCGAATCAGGAGAGGCAAACCGGATTCGTAGGGAGCAGCAGCAACTACTGCCTGCCGCACAACGTCTATTGCCAAGTGTGCTCGAAGACTTAGACGGCCTGTTACGGGGCATCAATCCATTCGCACAGGCTTTCGAGTAATATATTTCATTAATTTTACTGAACAAGCCACATTTCCATTACGCTACACTACAGACAAACCATGTTAACATTGATTCATAACATTGAAATATTTAGTTAGCTAGCGAGTACACATGTCACTATTTCAATTTCCAATTGTAATAATTAATTATACTATTTCATTAGCCTTATGTTAGTGTACATTTACCTGCCTATTTACACTATTCATTTATACATTTTTTTACTTTGCTTGCATTCATACATTTTCAATTAGTTACAAAGTAGTTTACTTTAATGAGTAATAACTAGAAAAACATAAATTCTTATTCGCAATCTCATTATTGCCTAAATATTATATAAATAACGTTTGGTCACAAATTAAAAGTTTATTTTATTTTGTTCAGATTCAGTTATGGATACAGATTTATTTCTCTTAAAAGTATTAAGATACTTGGTAGGTATATGGAAAATTCTATACATACACTGCTACACTTCAATGTATGACACAACGTTGGTGCTATACACTACACTATTGCATTGTCACACCTCATTTTTAACTCATCACTAACTTACAACCAATCTTACTCGCTCATGCCACACTTACTTTATACTTACCATAGACACTACACTTAACATAAAGTATAACTTATTTAAATTGCGTTACTGCTGTCTCCGATTGTGATTAGATATTGGTTTTTTTTCTATTTCATTTATACCTATGCTTACATTTCTATACATTATTTTCTTTTTTCTGTGTGCGCATTATGTGGGTACACTACTCCTATGTACAAAACTCAACTTCTACTTGAATATTTCTCATTTCATTTCAAATGAACACAAACACAAGTGACTAGAGTTAGAGTTAATGATTTCTATTACTTTTGTTTGTGTTCCTTATGTACTTTAATACACTTCAATTCAATGTATCTAAACAAACATTTGGTATTAGACATTGTAATATGTTTTGCATTATGCTACTCTCTGTCATTTTTTTACACTACCACATCACTCTTTGTTGATATTATGTGTGAGGATTAATTAAATAGGACTCTGACATTGACATTTCTGAGAACATTAACAATACACCAATATATGCGCTACAAACATGTACCTATTGCACAACGATTAATAAATTTCAATTTTGTACAATAAATCATAAGCCCGTGTCACTTCGTTACAGAACCATGCGAGAAGTGTGGGCTAGAGAAAACGCTCCTGACAGAGATCCTCAGTTGCTTCCGAGGAGGGTGAGAATGCATTTCGTCGCCGACGGAAATGTGGACAAGAGGCGATACAACCCACCACCTGAAACGGTCAACGAAGTCGCAGTAGTGTTTGTCGGTGATCTTAAACCTTATGCGGATTTCAAACCGTTTGTATCGGCGTTTACTTTCATGTTCAACGAAGCTTCGCTGAACGAATGTGTAAACGATTTATTTGTTTTGTCCGAAGAAACGGACCGTGTGTAAAAATAAAAAAAAACTATAAAAAATAATATCGCATTATTATTTTTCACATTTATTTTATAATATTTTATATCATGACAATAACAACACTCATGAGAACGATTTTTTTTTATTATCACGTCTCGCGCTCTCGATCGTTCTGACCATCGGTCACGATCGTTTGGGAGAAAAAAAAATCTATTTATTTTTTTTTTTTTTTTGGTCAACAAAGACGATATTTTTATTCTATAAGAATATAAAAAGTCTCGTCGTCCGGTGAACGGGTCACAGTTCAATTTCACGAATCGGACGGATATGTTTAATTTTTTAAGAAAAACTTTGATAGGCGATAGTTCATCGAGAAATCGAGATAACGATCTCGGTAGTTTCGGGCAACGGTACGATGCCGAAAGCTATACGCGGGCGGATGAAGACCCACCCGTTTCTAATTTTGTTTTTAATAACTTAAAAGAAATAATGGACATGGAAAACAATATGTACGAAGAACTGTCACAATACGGACGCACACATCGACGAGATAGTTCCGAAAACGTTATCGAGCCGTATAACAATAATATATTATATAAAGACGGTTCGGAAAACACGATCTGTTCAAACTCTTCGTCTTTTATATATCAAAAACGCGCTATCGTAACTCCTCAAAAACACGTGATCGGCACAACGACTCTCACCGCCAACACCACCGATTCTACTACCGACGTCAAAAATGCGACGGATTCGAAATCTTTTAGACCGCGGCAATATCCGGAAACGCTACCGGTCATGGAGTTTAAACCCGTGGATCGTAATGAATGCGAGCTAAACGTCCGACATTGGCTGCGGTTTATATTCGGGACGGCTCGATCGTTTAACGATATAAAAAAATTTATGACCTCGACCGTCAACGGCCCGGTTACTATGAACGAATATAAATATTTGACGATGATCGACCGGGTCTTGAATCACGGTACGCGTTTCGGTTTGTGTATTTACGACGTACCGTCAGTAAACCGAAAAATAGAACGTCGGGTGTGGTTCGACATAAGTGATTTTAAAATTATTGTTATGTCTACTGCGTACGGGCGAGACGAACGTAGACCGGCGCCAGACGGACACGGGTGTGGCGGCGCCATCGAGGATATCGAATCGGTTTTGGAATCCGACGCGTTTTTACGGACATGCGATACGATAGTGGACACATTTTCTACGACCCTCGCGTGCGGTAAATCGTCGGTAATTCCAGATTTGATTTTTAGATATAAAACTAGTGTCTCGGGATCCGACGGTTTCGATAACTGTAGACCCGTTGCGGACGACGGCGGTGGCGGTGACGATTATTTATCTGGTTCCATGATTATACGCATATATATGAAAACCGTCTCGGCGACATGTGTCCCGGAGTCGGACGTTTTGTTGTCGCCGGACGCCGACGGGGAAATAAAATATTTGAGAGCGCGTGTTGTTAAAAATTTTGTAGACATCGACAAAGAAATGCGTTTGGACCTGTTGCGCGTATCGTTATTGTTACATTTGTCGGCCATAAGAATAAAAAACCGAATAGTCACGTGTGAAACAGAAAACAAAAATCTTAATTATAAACAATATATATATATACTATAACTAAATACTAAATTAAATTAAAATAATAATAGAAATTCTGAATTTACAATAAATGTATAAATGCGTACATCAAATAACAATATAGATAAATAATATCCGGTGTCACCTTTTAACAAAGTAATTATTTTTTGCAAACAAGATATAAAAATAAAATAAGTGTCTTGTATGGAGAATGTAGTATAATGTTGATTTTTTTGAAAACTGTTAAAATAAATAAACATGTATGTAATAACAAAAATTCGCGATAAGTATAAGAATTTTTTTTTTTAGAACGATATCGCTGAGGTCAGTCATGAATTTCAAGAAAAATCTAATCTTGTTTCTCCCATGTCTTATAACTAATAGTTCATTGACCAAAAATAACGATCGTAAAAGAAAAAATTATTCACAAGAGATGAATAACAAGGCTGATGAAGTGTTAACTTTAGTTGGAGAGAAACTTAAGTTTTCAAATCCTGAAGATACCCATGATGTTACTGGTAAAAATATTGCAGGAAAATTACGAACTTTAGACCCCATGATGAGGATTTATGCAGAAAAAATAATCAATGACGCCTTGTTCGAATCCCAGTTGGGCACCTTAAATAAATATGCACGTATTGAAATTCCGCAAATACCAGATCAAAACGCTCCAAAATCAGCAGTCAATTACAACTCAATTACGAGTGAAAAAAACACTCACTCAACTAAACGCTAGACTTATATTATACCGCCGACGCATCACCTTCGTTTAGATTAAATTTAGTAGCGTCAAAATTTCACAAGATGGTTATCCACTTGTAATCTATTGGACAGCGTAGCGGAATCGGTTTATCTATTTTTTTTTTCATATTATATTATACACCGTTCGTACCATAAACAAAAATAAATTTTTATAAAATGTATGATATTTTGAAATATTTTGATATATTTTAAATTTGAATTTCGTGTTTTTTTTTTTAAAAAAAACTTCAAATATTTTCCAAGTGTTTCAAAATACTAAATTATTTCCAAGTGTTTTAAAACGTCGAATATTTTCCAAATGTCCATGCTATAAATTCATGTTTCAAATTATTAAAATAGCAAAAAATCTAAAATTAAAATTTCTACGTTTATTTTTATTTAAAGTTTTTATGATATAATTATATTATACGTGGTGTTGGTATATTTATTTTATTTATGTTATTCAATTATTTATTTTACAAAAATTCTAAATAATCGTTGGTCTTACAAACGTATAAAATTGATTTTCTATGTTAATTAATATCATCGAGAAAAAGATAATAACTTTTGATAACATGATTTTTCACTTACACGTTTTATACCCACTTTGTATATATTTAACATAAATTATGAATGTTATAATAGTTAATGATCATTCATGTCGATGAGTACAATATAATTTACTTTAATGAATTATTGAAAATATAAAATATTCAAATACTGATTGATTTTTTTTTTGTTTTTATTTCAACACAATTATATGTTTTTCATAATATAATATATGTACAAGAAGAAAATTTGTCAATAATGTCACTATACGATATAAAAATATAAGTATTATAAAAAAAAATACAAAATTATACATGTTATAATATAACATATTATAATACATGCAAGAATATAATAATATACCTACAATGATTACGCTGATATATGATACATGCTATAATGATATGATATAAAAATATAAGTATAAAAAAAAAAGATACAAAATTTATACATATTACAATATATTATAAGAATAAAAAAATGATAATGTTACGATATGATATAATAATGTTGATATAGTGGAATAATAGATTATACATACAACAATATAATAAACGATGAACATGTTATAATGATTTAATAACAAAAAAAAAATAATAGTGTTTTATAAAAGTTATGTAATAGTGAAATAAAAGATTAAAGGATTATTTTATACATTTAAAGCGGTCGGAGTAGGTGACTGTTCCTGAAAAAAAAAACAAAAATTATTAACATATTTTCTAAATATTTGAAACGTTTAAATATTTTATAAAAGTTTAAAATGTTGCATTATAGAGACGGTCTACCGAAGTCAATCGATTTTAAATGTTTTAAATTTCGAAATATTTTCCATAGAATCGTCAAAATTGTACTTCTTGGAAAGTTTTAGCACTAGTCTATTTAATACAAAATATCGAAAACGGTTCCGATTGTTTTAAACGTAAACGTAATTATAAGTTATCTATACGGAGATAATATTATACTATCGCTTGTGTACTAATTGTATTTGTATAGAAATATAAAATTTATTTAAGTAAATTAAAATATAGAAAATATTATAATTTTTTTTTCTCGAGCAAAAGAAAAGTATCTGTAATGTTTTTATACAATTTCTATATTATTTAACGTACCTATAATAAACCGTAAAAATCAATCAACTGCGTATTAAATATTTGAGAATATTAATTTAAATCATTACTCACTTCGATATGTTGTTTTGGCGAGTGATCATGGTGCGATCAGATGATCCATGTCACCAAAAATGTCATTAATCTCCTCGTCGTCGCCGCTGGTGAGGTCAAAATACGACGTAGTTCTCAACCCCGGACCTGTGTTCCGTCTGAACGCTCTCAACTGTTGACGTCTCTGTAAAAAAAAAAAAAATATAAATATAAAATTATAAATAATAGATTTCATATTATTGAAAAACGGGGTTATCGCAACGCGGTATAAATAATTTAGTAAAAAATTAAACTAAAACCAATCGATCGATATCAAAAATTTTTTAAAATATGTACGTTATTAATTACCATTGCACTATCCATATCTTCTTGCGTAGCTTCTACGATATCTTCTACCCCGATGGGAAGATTTTGTGATGACAGATTCTCGGTCGTTTCTTGGGTAGGTTGGCCGTAATCCATATTCTCCTCGTCGTCTTCGGAGGTGGCTGTTGGTGGTGGTGTCGTATCTGGTATAGCATCTTTTTCTGTGTACGTTTTCATCGCGTTTACGTCAAACGCTTGATATTTAACGATTTTTTCACGACAAAACGGACATTTCGAATTACCCACAGTGATTATGCGTTTTACACAATCTGTACATATTGAGTGTCCGCAGCTCAACAATGCGGGTATTGGTTTTATGAACTCGCAGATCGGACACGCTCCGGATTGCAGATACCATAAATCACATTTTTCCGGTTCGATTTTTGATAAATTTTGTCTGAATTTATAAAAATTCAAATTTTTTTTATGCTTTTCAACTTTTTTTTTAAATTGATCAACATCTTCTTTTGATTTTTCCATACGTTTTGCACAGTTTATATAGAGTTCTTTCGATTTTTGGAAATTGACAACTTCTTGCGATTAGGTTTTCTTTATTTTCTCAAGAAGTGCATGTAGTTCTGTGATTTTTGATCTTGTTGCTTTCAAGGTTGCTTCTTCTCTCCGCATCCGTTGTTTGTACATTAATAATTGATTTTGGTCGTTTTTAAAAATTTTATTTTTAATTTTGATTTCTTGCAACATTTTTTTCTGATTTTCATCTTCGGCGTTGAGTAAATGTTTTATTTGCGAAAAATTATCGACGACCGCTGTAGTTTTTTTCAATTTTAACCCACTGCCACTGGTCGAAGCGATTGGAAACATAATGCAGATATTAAAATATAAAATAAAAATAACAAGTATGAAAATAGCGTACGAAAATACGGGGATCGATTTGGTCGGTTAACGGAGAGACGGTTTAAAGGCGGTAGTGCTGTCGAGCTAAGCAAGAAGACTGATATGAATTATTATATGAATTATTGCTGGTATAAGAATAAAAGAAATAAAGTTACATCGTAGAATACGGCTGTTGTGTAGTATGTATCTCGTCGTATTGCCAATATTTCATTGACATATTTATTTGTGTGTATATTTTTATTAATTTCATTCCAGATATGTTCAATATTCAAATTGTAAATTTTGTGTGTATTATCAAATAAAATTATAAGATAATTTTTTATGACCAGTTCTTTTAGTTTTTTTTTCAATGACTTTTTGTCAATAAAATTAAATTTCAGTACACACATTAATATAGTGATGTGATCAAAAATATTTGACAACTGTAAAAAAAAATTAAATGCTATTAATAAATTTTAAATAATTATATGTAATGAATTTTCAAAAACATTAATACATTTTAAGATAATGACTGTTGTACGCTTAGTGAATCACCCTGTATATAATTTAAGTGTTTAACATTAAAAAAATAAAAATACCGTCCGTTTTGTTTCCATATTTATTAGGCAGGCCAGAATTAATGCATCATTCCAATTGTTGCTGGCCGGGATGGAAAATTGAACAACTTCTTCATCATCAATTATGATTGTATGTTTATTTGTGGATGAATGAATTCTATTTATTTTTAAATTCATATTTTACATTATTTATTTTAATTATTTAAGTGATGTTGGAATAGTCAATAAATATTTACCTTGTGATTTCATATGATAGATCAGTCACATCTAGCCACCATGAATCCAATTCATCGACAAATTGACAAAACAATTTGTCTAGAGATAATATATTATTTAAACAAATGAATTTTGAGAAATTCATTATTTTTCGATTATTATTATCGATTATACCATGACTTAGATATTTAATTTTATTTATAAATTTAAGAAGAATGTGTAGTTTAATTAATTTTTTTTTTTGTTTATATGCAGCTTTAAAAAGATTTTTTTCACAAATTTGGAAACTGTAAATAGAAATATTAAGATTAGTTATTAGTTATTATTAGTTATATTAATAAGTTTTGTTCACTATTTTACTTACTCATAAATAATTTGTTGTTTGTTTTTGTATAACATGGTGTTTGAAATGAAATAATCTAAAGATTGAATGGTGGTAATAAAATAGATATTGGTTATATTGAATTCTTTAGGAGCCGGAATCTTTTGTATTTTATTGAAGAATTTTTGTGGCATTGTATATTTAGTATTATTTTGTGTCTGAATATAATTTATTTGTTTTGAAGATATTAAAAATTGTGAATAATTGTTTACTGCTTGACTTTTGAATATGTCTATTGTTTTTTTTTTTATAGTTGCTAATTTTTTTCGCCCTAATTTTTTACTAAAATTTAAAGATACAAAATTAGATGTTAAGTTTTTTATATTTCCTTGTATAATATCTTCTTCACATTTTTGTATTTTTATATATTCTATGATCTTGTTAACGTCTGTATATCTTGAAAGCACCTGTATATAATTTTTGTAGTTTATTTTTTTAGTTTATTGTTTAGTTTTAAGTGTATGTATATAGGGAATTGTAAATATTTTATAATCTAAAAATTGTTACTTACATTGGTTTGGGCATTAACAATGAATTGAATTGCCCCAGAGTTTTCAATTATGAAATCATTAAATATATTAAGGTCTGTTGTTCTTGCCCCATAACTCCTAATATAATATAATAACGAGATGCTGTTAGTTGCGTCTCTTTTACAATTTAATTCTGTGACTGCAGATGCAACAGTTATTACTAAGTCCTTTTCAAATAAAATGTATTTTATATAAATAAATGAATAATAATATAATGCATTGATTACCTCAGAATGGCGTACTCTCTTTTCAATATTTTTTTCAGATGTAATATGTTTATTGTTTATATGGTTGAGCAAACCCGTTTCAAATATGAATTTGTCCTCACAAAATGGACACGGAATAAACAAAAAAATTAAATTTGGTACATTTTCCTCATATTTGTAATATGTATTTGATTTTTCAATCACTATAAAAATAAAAAATATGATGTCTTTCGAAACTGAAATAAATATCCAGTCAGGGGCGTATTTATGAGGTTGGCTGAGTGGGCGATCTCATTGTGCATTGTTGGTTAAAAAACAACATTTTTATTAAAACATAATATTTTTAAACATTTTTTATCCTTATAAAAAACTTAAAAACTTATAAGGATAAAAAACTTAAAAAATTATAAGGATAAAAAATATTTAAAAATATAATTTTTACAACCCACCCCAACACCTAACTACTAATTAAAGAAAAATATTTAAATTATATCTGTGAAATTGTAACAACTAACTCCGCTCTCCCCTAACTGCTGTTCCATAGGTGCCAAAATAATTGTTTGGCCACCGGTGCCGGGGTAACTCACAGGGAATTATCTCGAGAGTTACCGTCTTATTGTCTTTTTCCCCCTGTTCCATAGGATTATTAGAAAAAATCAATGGGTTAAATACTTACAATCATCAAAGTTCGGACAAGAACTTCTGGAACCACTTCTGACTGGAGTCTTGCCATTTATCATTTTGACGCCTTTACGAAACTCTAGTACATTTTGGCCGTGAGCCAAGCTACAAATCAAATTTGTGCGTTTGCTCAACATGACGACGAACGACAAACAAGAAGATTGAATGAGAGAAAATAATTACAAAATAATTTTGTCATGTTAGAGAATGGAGTGGGTAATAGTGATGATGGTTATGTGGTCGTATAACTAGGGTTGTAAAATTTCATGAAATTTATTTTCTTGAAATATTTCATGAAATATTTCATGAAAAATTCATGAAATATTTCATTTCCATGAAAAATATATTTTTTTATTTCCAAGTGAACATTTTTAAAAGTTGGTTTATTGTATGAAATAAAGAAAATATGTAACATAGTTACATACTACATACATAAAAATACACAAACATCGACATATAAAAAACTAGATAACCCACTATAAGACAATTTTGAAGTCAGCCATATGGCAACAGGGAAAAATTGCATGATTGATAATATCAAATATGTATATTGTTTATATTTGTAATATATATAATATATTATATTATTATGTCATAATATTATATAAATATGTATAGGTATCTTATATTCTTATAATCTTATCTATTGAGTCATTTTTTAAACATATCCCTGTTGGCAAATGGCCACTAGACTTCAATGTTACTGAGTGATAAGTAATAACTAATAAGTAATAATTTAATAATTTATATTTTTATTAGTAATAAAGTAATAAGTGGTAAAAATAGTTTAATAGCCAATAGGGGATTCAATTGATAAGTGATAACTGATAAGTGATTACAAAAATATAAAAATTAATACCAATATACAAATACCATATAAAAATATAATTATTAATTTATAATTTATAACCATTGACCATTAACAGTATTTAGGTAGGGTTTTTAATTCGTATACCTTGGTTGATAAATGATACCTAACTGATAAGTTATTCATAATCAATGTTTTCTGTGTTGCATCAATATATTATTTCTAATCACCTATAAACACGTTTAAAAGAAAAAAAAATATTTTTCATAATTTCATTGAAATATTTCAAGAAGAGTGAAATTTTCAATTTTGAAATATTTCAATTGAAATATTTCAAGTGAAATATTTCAAATTTACAACCCTACGTATAACTATGGGATCGATGGTGGGGGAACGTTTAAAAATAGTAATCCTTCCGTCCGATACAGCGTGGCTGGTATTTTTGAACGCTAGAAGTTATTAATAGTAATCCTGAAAGTGGCGAACTCATCAGTGACACGCAGAACTCTATACCCCCAAATAGTTTTAAGTCCCCTGGTAAACACGGTGTAATAATTTCGATCTGAAATTCTGCGGTAGATCCTATACTCACGTCGGCTACACGGTGTAAAAGTTTCAAAGTTAACAACTTAGAATTACGCCGTCCAGGACTTATAACTGAAAAAATGAAATTTTCTTATTTGCAACTCAGCGGTAAATCTCATACTTAGCTGCCGGACGGCCGTTTTAGACACTTGGGCATTTTTTAAATGCAAAGCCTAGATAGCTGAGGCCCCCCCGAATGCAACCATAACACTTGCAGAGCTCTAAGTCCAAAACTCGACATACTACGACCACAGAATAGATTAAATCAGAATGGACACCTCGGCCGCCCGAAAAACTTTCCGCCATATTGTATGCAAGCACCAGGCTGACCACAAATTCAATATTAATGTTTTCTAAAATTTATGTTGCTTATGGCGACACTGTTGTAAGGATGTTTACAATTTTTATTTCAATCTCCATGACTACTAACCAAACAATTTAGTATTTACAATTTACAATTTACATTTTACATTTTACCGCCGTTGTTACTTGTGACTTGTCTATGGTTATTGTGGTGTCGAATTGCGGAAATCAAGCTTTACTGTGTTTTTTGAATTTTGCACAATGGAGTTTTTGGTTAATAAACGGTCCAAACAGTATTCAAAATGTTGCTTGACCAATTGTAGAAGCCACATTTTGAATAAGGATGAACTAAGTTTTTTTACTTTCCCAAAAGACCCTGCTAGGTAAGTAATATCTTTGTTAATAACATATTTCTACTTACATTTTATGACCGGTTTTGAATAGCCAAAGTCAATAGTTCATTATTACAGTTTCATAAATTTGATTTTAAGCTGGCTGTTAAAATAATAAATTACACATTTTAAGTACTTAATATGTGAACATTAATTATAGTCTATAAACAATGCATATTACATATATTTCCCTAGGTCTTATTGCAATTGACTAAACTGTTATCACTTATACCATTTAAAAAGTCTTATTCGCTGTGAAAATGTATTAATTATATTTACAAAAATATTTTAGATGTGCTGTTTGGATTGAAAATTGCAAATGTGATCAACTAAAGTCAACCAATAATTTACCTGCTAACACTAAGTATCGTATTTGTTCTTTACATTTTGAAACTGATATGTTTTCTAATTTTCAGAAAAATAGACTAAAGCCGGAAGCTGTACCTACATTGTTTGATGCCATGAAAATTGAGTATGTGGATGAATCAAAGAATTATGATAACCCTGAATGTAGCACTTCAGATTTTGTGCCATTATCATATTCACCACCTGGTATGTCTAATAAAATATATTATTGTAAACACAGTAAATTCTCACTTGTCCTTGGTCGCTGAAAGAACTTATTCCGTGGATAATAATTGTACTCTAGTTTTTCTTAAAGTATTAATTAATTGTAAAATTTAATATTTGTTGAATTAATTTTTTAGTTATATTTTGTATACATGTTAGGGATGATTAACTTGTATAGAATTGTATGTTTTAATTTTTCCAGGTTCTTCTACTCGTTCATCGATAAACTCACCATGTTTATCTAATGCATCAACATCAACGGATATTGAAACTAGTGTTATTGGTATACAGACACCAAGTTATTTATCATCTAAAACTCCCCGAAAAGTTGCTCTTCAGGAAAAACTCAAGGAAAGTGAACGGGTTCAGGCCGAGTTGAAACAAATTATTATAAATTTGAATCAACAAATAGCAAATGAATCTAACAATACATTGGATACTTGCCTAGAAACATGTAAAAAATACTTGTCACCTACCCTCTTTATGATTGTCAAATCTCAAATCAGGAATAAGGAAAGAAATTTTCGAGGATTCAGGTATTCTAATGAAATTAAGCAACTTGCTTTAAGTATTTATTTTCTAGGTCCAAGAGTTTACAATTTATTGCACAATCCTCTATCCCTTCCTACTAGTCGAACACTCAGGAGAGTAACTTCAAAATACGAAATAGATCCTGGTCTAAATGATT